GTATGGGAGAGAGTCAGGAACATAATGCTGAGAAATAGCAACATGCATAAGAGTACAGAAAAGACCTTAAACAATAGTTCTAAAACTAGAAGGATCAAGGGATAGCACAAAAAGCCGGAAGTTTCCAGAAGGAGCTGCTGAGAATGTCATGTGCACAGCAATATCAGAAAACACAAAGAACAATAAACATCCTATGGATCTAAGGATTGTTGGTACTGGGTGGGGGGAAGCAGACTTGAATGAAAAGTTAAAAATGTGATGCAGGCTACATTCCTGAACAGGAGCAAATTAAATGGCAAGAGGTACAGGTTGTTATGGGTTTTATAAGTGTTCCTCAAAGGCCCATGGTCTCAAAACTTGGTTCCTAGGATGGCATGTTATTGGAGGGTCCCACAGACCTTTTTTAGAGGTGGGTGCTAGTGGGACCCTGTTGTTTTTAACTAAGTCTCTATCATTCTATTTTATTGATAAAGGCTCAAAAGCCAGATGCTGGGGTGAAAACTTGTTAGCTCAGAGAGACAGAGAAAGCACCCAGCTGCTTCCTTCTCAGCCCCCATCTCAGAAAGAGAGCTTTCTCCTACATCTCAAACAAAAACTCCTCCAACTGGATGTCTCTTCCTTCTGCTTCCTGTCCATCCCTCTATCTGTCCTCCTGACTTCCTCTTACACTCTGTTTTTTTTCCTTTCAACTAGTTGCTTGCTCCACCTCTTGACCTATAGTTGATTTTATTAAATTCTGTTTACAATATTCAAACAGAAAGTTCTTAGATTAAAGGTGTGCTAGGGCTGAGCTACACAACATGTACAAGCAGGTTTTTCCAGTGAATAATGCAACCACAGAGATCACAGTGTGATTAAATGTCCTGCAACAGGACCCCAGCCCTCTTCTGCCTTGCTTTTGGCTTCTAGCTTGTGAGATGAGTGTCTTGTTCTTCATGTGCTCCTCTATGATGTACTGCCCTAGCCAAAGGATGGCACCTCCAGAACCATTAGTCAAAACAAGTCTGCCTTTTTATATTTATTGTTTAGGGTTATTTTGCTATAGTAATAATAGAAAGCTCAGGAATGAAGATGAATGAAGTTTTAAAATTTCTATTACTTATTCTCTTTCCTTCCTTCCCTCCGTGTGTGTGTGTGTGTGTGTGTGTGTGTGTGTGTGTGTGTGTGTGTGTGTGTTTGGCAAGGCAATGCAGGTACCATAGCACATATATGGAGGTCAGATGAAAACTTTATGGAGTTGGTTCTCTTCTTCTAAATTTATGTGCATTCCAGGGAGCAAGCTCAGGTCTCCATGCTTGCATTACAAGGACCTTTACCTGTTGAGTCATTTTGCTAGACCTTGAAGGAAATTATGATTTTGTTTTTATTTTATTGTGAGGGACAGAAGAGATTATTATATTCATATACATATGGGAGGACTGAAAAAAGAAGCTAATGAATTACTTTAGTAAGATACTAGTCAAGGTCCAACCATCATATAGAAATCACATGAGATATTAGACCATAAATACTGTGATAAAAATAGTTGTTAAATACATAAAAATCTGGTTGTTAAGTGACTAAAATGGTGGGAAGAGAGTACAGAAATAAAGTAGCAACTGTAAGAAGCCTCCAACACTGTTAGCGCTGAGGTAACAAGGAGGACGGCGGGAGATGGAGTCTACAAATATAAGGGGGTAGGGAGAGTGTCTCCTAAGAGCAACTGAAGGATCCTTTCTGGTGGTTGCACTGGGCCAGACTGAGTTTGGTAGAAATGAAAGAATATTCTGCGAGTTGCATACAACCTGGCAGATAAAAGGTGCTTAGAAAAGCATTGCTGGGAAAGGAAATGGTTTAGAATGGGAAGAAGCTATTGGAGGAAGTTTGGGGAAACCGGGTTGACAGAGGAAATGGGATAGAATGGGTAGCCAGTCTTCAGGGTTTTCTTGTGTTTTTCGAAGAGAACTGCAGACATTTGAGCAGTGGAGGGACAAGACCAGAACCCTGATTTCTGGAGGGCCAGTACATCTATGTAGAAGAAAAACAGGGAGGGAAAACTAGAGTCACTACCTGCAAGGTCAAACGCGATGGCTTGGACTGTGGTGGCAGGAAACATGGGAAGGAACCAGAACCAGAAAAGGAAGAGAAGGCTCCAATTAACTCATGGCTTCTTTGCTCAGTGCAGCCACGGGGGTGGGGGGTGCAGAGGGTGAGAGAGCAAACAGGATCTTCTTTATTTGGACCATTACAGATATCTGAAGATGAGGAAAGGATGGAAAGGAGAAGATTTTGAGCCTTGTTTTTCTTGCCACGACACGATTAAGGTCCCTGCGGGATTGATGGCCCAGGTGCTGGACAATAGGTGCCTTGGAGCTTAAGAGCCAATTCTGGGCAGAGCACGCAGGCGCAGCCCCGTGTTGCCTAGCAACTAGGAACAACTCTGACCCGCGGAGACCAGTGCCGTTTGTTAGTTGTAGCAAGCCACTGCTCTTAGGACTTCATGCAGGTAAAGGCAGGCACGGCTGTTTACCGGCCCTGAGGGTTGGAGAGACCCAGGACCAGAGGACTGAACCAACTGTGGCATTCAGTGCGCCAGTGGGAACCTCTGGAACAAAGGCAGGAGACACCTGAAGAGCTGTCCCAGTCAGCACCTGCAGTTAGCAGCGGTACCCTGGACTTGACAGGGGGCGAACCTGAGGCTCCAAGAGGGACCTGAGGGTCTGAGATCCTGTCACTTGACTGTAAGTGACCCTACCTGCTCCAGCCCTTCTCTGCTGCTTTAACTCTGCTCAAAGCCAGTTTCTGCCTCAGTGAATACCTGAAACTCAGAGACTGAGGGGGCAGCAAGTGGGAAATACAAATGACAAATAGGGAGATATCGTGGCTATGAAAAGTACAATTTTAAGCCACACCCTTTGTCATAATCAGTTTAATGAACTTAGTACCTATGCTTCCCATTATCTTCCAGCTATATTTATATTCCTAAAGAAACTGAGAGGTGGGTGAATATTTTTATATCAAAAGACGTTCATTGCAGCCTTGAACGATAATTCCAGAAAATTGGAAATGGGAGGGTAGATGAGTAATGGATTTGAAAGCATTATTTAAATTATATGCTGATCCACTGAAGACTCTAGGAAGATAAATGAAGATGGAAATGTGTTGAACTTGCCCTTTAAGAAGTTCTTAGGAAAATGGTCCCAGGGAAGGAAATTGACAATAGGCAGTAGAATTCAGGAAAGATGGGGGGAAAAAAAGCACTGTAGAAAACATACACACACAAAGGAACTATATCAAAATAACACAAATCTGCCTGAGCTTATCTTTGGGTGAATTTTCTGCAGTTAACTGTGCTCTTCTTTGTTTTCTAAATTCTCTACAGTGAAATGCCTAGTTTTCATGAGGAAAAAAATTAGTTGTGTGTGGCTAATTGCTCCCACTTATACCAGTGATTTATTCCTGTCCCCTCAAAGAGCTATCCCAATATAGTGATAAATTTCAGCCACCTCTGACTGTATGGTGTTGCCCAGCGCGCTTTCCATGGCTGCAATGCTGTATGTCTTTATCTTCTGTAATCTTCATTGATTATTCTGTTCTTCAAGACACCACCCTGGAATAGGAGACAAGAGTATGAGGCCAACTGAGAATACTTCAAACAACTTTGTGTGGGTGTAACTTGTTTCCTGAATGTTCTTCAGAAGGAATTATTATAGTTCTATCTATAGCAGTTGCTGCTACATCTTAGAATTGCTTATGAACTTAACTTGACCTGTGAACTTACCCCCACAACTAAGAGCTTGACTCTATGACAGCTTCTCAGTGTTCTGGAATGATGTCTGTGTGTCTTTCTGGATGAAACAGGCTCAAAGTCAAGGGGCCACAGGCCCTCAAGCATGTATGAATATCTGAGATTTGAGAAAAATATTTGCTCTAATACATGAAACGAAGAAAACTAGTATTTTAGTGTTTTGCTTCTATTACATGCCCATACATTTGAAAATGGTTTCCATGCTAATTACTAAGTAATTTCAAAAGCAAATCCTGATGAAAATTTGGGGGCCAGAGAGACAGATGGCGCAGTGGTTAAGAACATTTATTGTTCTTGCAGAGGACCATGTTTTGTTCTCATCACCTACATTGTGGCTCACAAGTCTCTAACTCCAGTTTCAGGGAACCAATACCCTTTTCTGGCTTCCTCAGACACCCGGCATGCACATAATGCACATACATAAAGGCAAAACACTCACACACATAAAATAAATAAATCTAAAATATATTTATTACAAAATTATATTTAATGGAGAACGTGGTATCTTTTAACATTTTAGTATACTGGATAAGGCATAAGGTACCCAGAACAGGATAAGCCTACCCAGTTCTCACAGGCCCTATAACTCAAGTTAGTCATATGGAATTGATGTCCTTCAAAAGCCTCTGAGTTACTGTGTTCATGTGGCCTTTTAATGCATTCAATGCATTCTTCCCGGTGTCTCTAAGACCAAGAGCAGCTTTTGAATTCTGACAAACAGTTTGAACTAATCCTGGCATTGAAGGCCCTTTCCGGGGATTTCATGAATCCTGAGATTGCTCTCAAGACTGGTAAGTTCCTCCTCTTTTTCACGAAAGCATTACTCACAGGAAAAATAGAGCCAATGATTTTCATAATGCCTGCTTTGTGGCATGTCATGTGGATCTCAGAGACTTAATCTCAAGCCCACCATAGGTGGTGTGTAAATGTGCTGTGCTATTGCTCATTTAGTCAGAAGTTAGGTCACAAATACAGTCAGTTACCTTTCTAAACTGAACAAGACACCGATGCTCAAAAATCTTATCAATAAGTTCCTTGAAAGCTGAGGCTTCCAACAGGGGCGTGTGCAACAGTTTGTGCACTTGCAGTAATTCCTACGTGAATTGCACACGTTAAAGTGTAAAGATGTGATGAAGAAATAAAACTGAGAGTTGGAGGATGTACACACTTACGATGTGAAAATCATGGGGTTTTTTGCATCTTTTTTTCTAGGATGGGTAAAAAGATAAAGAAGGAAGTTGAACCTCCCCCTAAGGATGTGGTAAGTTTCTGGGGCAAATACCAGCAACACTTTAACCACCAGTTTTAAAAATAAATCGTTCCGACAGTTTGGCATGTCCCACGGTATACATGAATACATGGTGGCAGAAGTCCAAACTCTGACTAATGATAATATTAGTCAGAGAAACCTAACCAGAATATAAACAAACATTTACAATGTTGTCATTATATAATTAACACAATTAAACAGCCATTACTAGCTTTTTTCTAGTATGTAGATAGCATGTTTGCAGTTTAGTTAATGGATGAATAGTTTCATTGTATCCTTTTAAATAATTCAAGTTTATAGTCACTAGTCTCTCATTAATATGAATCATCCCAGAGAATTTTCAAAAAATAAAGAGAAGTTATACTACAATGCTTACAACTTGTGTATGGCATCTGCTGATGGTCTTGGACATGATATGTCCCATATTGTCCAGTTGGAAAGTAGTCTGGGGTCATCAACTCCCTCTCTTCCACATGTTAAGCATAAACATGGCCCTTACAGAAAGCCCTTTTGCCTCCTAAATGCATGGTTTATCTGCTCACTTTAATCAGTCACCAAAAGCCTATGTTACGGGGGAAAACGACCTTGGATGATACTACCTTTGGAGTCTTTTTTTCAAAACGTATGTTTGGTGTGTTTGTCATCAGACAAAATACAAATAGAAATGAGGAATTCCCAAGTTTGCAAGAATTGGAAGGTACTGCAGAAAGTTGCCCTCCAAGTTGGGACATTGCGTCAAGGCTGGAAGCTTTGTCTTGGCATGGCTCCTTACAAACTGCATTAACCACTTTGACCAAGCTGCCAAATTTGGCCAAACTATTTCAGTTTTCTTTATCTTTGAAAGGGTAACTGCACTAACTCACTTGGATTGCTATATTATTAGTTCAAAATAAATTATATGAAGTTCTCAATGCTTTACTTATAATGCAGTAAATAATATTTGTTATTGTCCGAATCCCCAGGGCTCTGCTAGCTCTCTCTCCCCTTCTCTTCCCCCCTCCCTATCTCTGTCTTTGTCTCTCTCACACATACACTGATGATCACAGAGATAGATGAAACTTTAAAATGGAGTTAAGGTGAAAGTTACTCTACCAACCACTTGCGCCCATTTGTGCATTGGGTACATTTCCAGACCTCTACATGATTGAGGGAGGATGTGACAATAGCCACTTCAGAGGAATGAATACCCATTCCCAACTGTGAGCACTAGGCAGCAATCAGGTGCTGAGAATAGTGGTAAGTACTAGCCTCCACTCCAAGTGCCCCAGAGCCACTTGTGGGTGGGATGTAGTGGTGTGCGCCTACAACATCTGACTCCAGAGGCTGAGGAAGGAGGCTCAGTACTTTAAGGCCAACCTCGACTATATAGTGAGACTCTGTCTCAAAAAGAAAAAAAGAAAAAAAGAAAAAAAGAAAAAAACAAAGGCAAACAAGTGTAGCCTGTGAGCACCATATTGGAAAGGCAAAATGAGGAACATCACTGTCTCTGAAGTTCTGTTGGACGGCGGTTTCTCATGGCCGTATTTCCTTTACAGAGCTGGCAGACTATCTCTGTACACCTCTGGTCTCTCAGCAGACTGGCCTTAAAAAGCAGAGCTAGCCAGGTGCTTCTTCTTTACTTGCATTCTTTCTGTGGTAATTTTGGCTCACCACTCATTCTATACAGAGCGTGACATTGTAATTTCACAACAAGCTTGCTGGTGACTGACTACCTCATGGGGAAGCAGATGGGCTATGTGATTACAGCTCAGTATTATTTATTTAGTCATGCGGCATTCTGTTACAGCCATCATTTATTCTCAGCACCTTTTTAAATAAAAAATTACTATCATGCTGTAGGCCCTGCAGGAGAAACAAATACCACGCCAAGTGCCTCCGCTGTCTGCCAAGCACTGCCATTTCTACCACAGGGCAGGATCTTTAGAGTATAGCTCTTATGGCCTCCATCTTCCTTTATGCATCTCATAATCTATATTGCCTTGTTCCTGATGATGACTGGAAGGCACAGCAGCATGTCAGTATGTTGACTAAACCTCCAGGAGAGGTTAAATGGAGTTTGTTTATGGCTCTTGTTTCCATGGATTTTTATGTACTCCACCTCTTTAAGGACTGCAGTTATCATAACATTCTCACTCGAAGTCATTGAAAAGTTAGCCATGTGTTTCTAAAACGAGTTTTAAAATATCCAAATGTTAATTGAGAGTTAGTGCTCTGTGCTATGACTGTAGTCTCAGCTACTCTGGAGGTTGAGGCAGAAGGGTTGCTTGAGTTTGGGAGTTCAAGGCCAATCTGGGTAATGTAGTGGAAGCTAATGTCAAAAGAAAAAAAAAAAAAAAGAGGTGGCAGGAAGTAAAAGGCGCTTGAGAGAAGTCTCAGTTGGAGATGGCACACAAACTTGAGGACTTGAATTCAGATCTCCAGAACCCACAAAGGAGTTACATGGTGACTCTCACACACAGAATCCTGGTTACTGGGCAGGGGGACACTAGAGGAGGGGGAGACAGGTAGATCCTGAAGCTCCATGGCTAGCCAGTCTGGTCAAATGAGTGAAGTTCGGGTATCATGTAAGACACCCTGTTTCCAAAACAGGAACAGTCCGGTGAAAACTGATTAATGAAAGAAACTTATATCAAACCCTGGCCTCCAGATGCACCCCTACTAACATGTACACACCACACATACAGAGAAAGGAAGAGAGGGAGGGAAGGAGGGAGAAAGAGAGGGGAAAGGAGGGGAGGGAGAGGGAGAGAGAAGAAAAGATGAAGAGATATATTAGAAAATTAGCGATCTGAAATGGGGTAAGTCTGTTCTGAGTGTGAGTGGGTGGGGAGCTTAGGCAGTTGGAATGCTGGGAAACTGCTTGAAGTCTCAGATATCTCAGATGTGAACGGCAGGCAGTCAGGGAGCCTAGTGAAGGTGACACAGACACTCTGAACACTTTTGCCTGAGATTTCAGTGATAGAATGCACCTTTTGAACCAGTTGGTGGTTGAGGTTTCTTGATATGAGACAGCAGTTCTCAGATAAGTCATCTTACCTCTACAAACTGAATTCAGGGTGCTCAACATAACATGGGGACCATAGCTCCAACTCTCATTAAGGAAGGAAATGAAATGATCAAGAAATGGTCAGTGTCGGGTGACATGGTGACTACTGGTGGTAGCCTTAGAAGTGATCCCTGTGGAGTCTGATGAAAGTGAAGTTCAACTTGGCTTGTGCAGCCAGTAGAAACAGAGAAAAGAATCATTTCCTCGTGTTCTTTACCATGAAAAGGAAGGAAGGGCAGGGGAAGAATAATACCTAAAGAAATTCAGTCTCTGTTTCAAAATAAGAGAGATTTGACTAGAAAGTGTTACCTGGAGTCTAGAGTTCAGGCATCCAACTAGGAAGGGCCAACAGCAGAAAAGTCTGGTAAAGTTCTAAGCTGTCCGGGTGGAACTATACTTGAGCAATAACATGCATGAACTACTAAAAAGCTATGAACTGAATGATTTTTAGAGCTCACATGAGTCTGGGAGTCATATTGTTTGGGTAAGAGAGTCTTGTTGAATTTCTAGGGCATTATTAGGCAGTCTCCAGAAGTGCCATGCCTTTACAGTATGGCTAGCCTTGCCACATGGTAAATGCTTTCCTGGATTTTCCACAGGAAGGTTTAAAAATGGGCTTGAAGTAGACATCATTGACCCAGATGTAGGATAAGTGCTTACCATAGCAAAATCCTTTAAGTTCCCTTCATCCCCATTACCAAAGAAAAAGATCTATACACTCAACTACATAGTTTTCACAACATTAAGTAGCCATTAAAAATAATTAAGGATGAAAAAAAGGAAAATGTGAATCATATCAGGAAAACAATCAATAAGCCATTAAAGGAAATAAAGTAGGAAGCTAAAAAAATTCAGTTACCAAAAAAGAAGACAGGAAAAAGAACAGATTAGGGAAAGTGGAGGCAGATAGCAAGATGGTCAATAAAACTATCAATAATCATACTATATATAAATGCTGAAATATTTTTTAAGGTGAGATATTATCAAATTTAATGAAAATACAAGATTCAAGAAACTTTTAAGGAGAGCTCAGCAGGAGAAAAGAGAAAAAAAAGAAACTCTTAAGGATACATGGATACATATAGGTTAAAAGTGAAAACAGAAAGATATACATAGCATGTGAACACTAACCATAAGAAAGTGCCTATGTATCGAACAAAATATAATTACAGAACAAACACTTATCAAAGAAAAGAGTGGACATTTTAAAATGACAAAAAATTTCAGTTTTAAGGAGAAAATGTTCTTAATAACACAAATTTTTAAAATACAAAGAAAATGGGCTATTCCATTGCATAAAGATAAAATATGTAAACACAATATGTTTACCAAAAATTAATATCCATATCCTACAAAGCAATGCTGAGACAAAGAAGGCCCAATGAAGCAGACACTCTGTGCTGGATACAGGTACATTGATGGTGGGATTGCAAAATTTTCGAGCTACTTAGGAAAACCATGGTACTTTCTTGTGAAGTTAACTACACACTTGCCATGAAGCCAGAAAAGTCTCTCTCTCTCTCTCTCTCTCTCTCTCTCTCTCTCTCTCTATACCCTCTCCCTTCCCTCCCTCCCCCTCTCTGTGTCCAGATGCATGTTCATGTGTTAATGAATTTGGAAACTAGAGGTCAACATCAGATATTTTGTCCAATCACTTTTCACATTTATGTTTTGAGATAGGTCTGTCTATGGACCTGAAGCACATTGATTTGGCCAAAAAGTCCCAGGGGCCCTCCTGTATCTGCCTCCCCAGCACTGGGATTACAGGCAGTCACTCATCATTTTTACATGGGTGTTAAGACATAGAAACTGTTTATCAATGTTGAGACAGTACTGTCCTAAAACCTGGCAGAAGCATTTACATAAAGGTGCATGCCACCAAGACTACTGATGACCTCAGTTCAATCCCCAAGGTCCACATGATTGAAGGAGAGATCCCATTCCTCTGAGTTGTCCTTTGACCTCCTATGTATTCTCTCTCTCTCTTCCTCTCCCTCTCCCTCTGCCTCTCCCTCTCCCTCTCCCTCTCCCTTTGTGTGTGTGTGTATGTGTGTGTGTGTGTCACACACATACACACACACACACACACACACACACACACACACACACACACACACACACACACACAGGGTGGGGGGCAGAGACAGAATGTAATAATGTTATAAGAATGTAATACGTTTTCAAAAATCCAACAGGTTTTTCTCCTCTGTGTGATTTTTTCATCCCTTCTAGGTTACATCCATCATCCATCTCCCTTCTCTTTTTAACTTTCTAGTTTCTCACAATGAGGTCACCTTATACTCCCAAACATACCGATATGTTCAAATAAGAAGGGTCAGCCCAAAGAACCAACTAACACTTGGAAGTCCATTTGCCTGTATCATAAACAGAACTTCTTCCATCTGTCTCTGGAAATGGAAGAAAACATTGTCATAATTTGTTTTCTCGTTGCCCACAGTAAACACCAATGCTATGAGTTTGGTCTTGCTTGTTTTGGCTATACAAGAATTGTCCAGACTCAGCATGACACAGGTCTCAGAATCCTACAGATTTCCTCTGTGCTATGCCACCATTACTCTTTCCTGGAACGTACTAAAGTTTATATCTTATTATATACATTCCCCCCATTTTCATCATTGTTCATGTTTCACTTATGTTATTCTTGCTTTTCCAGGAAGAGTCCAGTAGTTGCAATGAACATATTGAGATGGCGCACCAAATGTAGTCAAGGATTCTTTCGTGAGGGCTTAGAAGAATAGTAATATATATTTATTTTAGTGAGCATCTGTGATGTGATAGAAAATGTACTAAGTGCTTCATCCTAACCTCTATAACCTCCCTTGATTATTCCAGACATGTACTATTATCCCTAGAACACAGAAAAAAGGAAGCTTCAGCAACTTGTCTGAGACAAGTTGAGAAACTGCATCTGTAACTCTAAACCCTTTCTCCCTTCCCACTGTTCTCTGGGAATCAGAGAGCTGTCAGTAGTCTTTACGACTTTTTGTTTAATTTTATGCTCTGCATACAGGTGTTTCACTTACATGGATGTCTGTACACCACATACATGCAGTGCCCATAGAGGCCAGAAGAAAACACCAGGAACTGGAAACAGGAACTACAGAGGTTATGAGCCACTATGTGGGTACTGGAAACTGAGCCTGGGTCCTCTGGAAGAGCAGCCACTGCTCTTAACCACTGAGCTATCTCTCCAGCCCCAGGGATTTCTTTTTGAAATAGGAACTTTCTATTTCACCTACTGGGAGGCAACCATAATCTTTTGCAGGATTGTGGCCTCTTGAAATTTTATTTTATTTTTTTTTAAAGTTCATCATCCATTTATTCTATTATAGTCACGGAGTTACATGAACTTAACACAATTTGAGAATGCTTTTATAATTTCATAAAGGAACCCTCTTCTCATTTTCACTCTCCTTACCCCCAAATCTCCAGATAGTTATTAACCTTACAATCTTTGCAGTGTTACCTATTCCGGACACCAAATAAAGATGACTCAAACAATATGTGGCCATTGTTTTAGTTTGAGATCAGAGTCTCATGTATTTCAGGTTGGTGTTGAACTTTCTGGGTAACTGTAGATGACCTTGCATTTCTGATCTCCATACTATCACATCCCCAATTCTGGGATTACCAGCATGCATCACCATGCATAGCTCATGAAGTGTTGGAATTGGAACCACAAGCACTCTGTCACCTGAGCTCCATCACCACCTTCTTCCCAGGATATGGCCAAATGTGACTGACATTTTTACCTAGTTTTCATGAATCACCAACATTTTTTTAAGCCACTGTTGATTTTTAATGTGACATTTAAAAATTACATGTGACCCTGATTACCCTTCATTTTGCATTTCAGTTCGACCCACTCACAATTGAAAGCAAAAAAGCAGCCACTGTGGTGCTAATGCTCAACTCTCCAGAGGAGGAGATCTTAGCCAAAGCTTGCGAAGCCATTTATAAGTTTGCTTTGAAAGGTTTGCATTTTTTCAGTTTATCTTTCTATCTCATTTCTATTTACTACATACCAGGCACTTTCTTCACTAGTATGTAACTTACTCCCTGTGTGAGCAACATTAATGCCCAACTTGAAAGCAGTGCCCCTTCCTGCGTGCTTTACTCCATTTCCAAAGGTTGCTCACAGCTGGGGTCACATTGTAGTCGGTAAAAGCATAGAATTCAGGCATATGCCTGCCATCTCAGAGTTTGGGGGTGGAGGCAGGAGGGTTATAAATGCAAGGCTAGCCTGGGCTATGTAACAAATACCCTTGTCTTTCCCATCACTTATTCCCTGGCTCACTCAGTCAGTCAGTCAACCAATAAATGCCAGAAGCAAAAGGAGCCATCGTTTGAGCAATAACATAAACTTGCATTGGATCATAACCCAAAGTATAAAATAAATACCCTGTGTACAAACAGTATTGATATAAAGAGTTAAACTCAAGGCTGCCACCACCCCGGCTCCATGATCCCTACCACACAGTACCCTTCCACCCCCAGTATTCTCCATTTCCACTTTGTTCCATTGTCTTCCACACCCCCTCCCTTAGAGACTCCATTTCCCAGTCTCATTGACCCCTTTCTAGTTTCCTTGCTTTTACCCCATATTTCCTCCCACTTGGATGTGCACTTTAACAGTTAGAGGCTACAAGACAGAGAGATAGAGAGAGGGACGGGGGTGGGGGGTGGGGAGCACAGTATTTTTCTTGAGGTTTTCTAGTTTTGTCCATTTTTCATGTTCATTTTATAGTTTCATCTTTATTTATGGCTGAATAAAATTCCATTAAAATAAAATTTAATAACAAGGAGAGACTGTTGTATTGAATTAAAAAAAATCAAAACCAAACTACATGCTGCCTTCAAGAAATATGCTTAGAATATAAAGGCTCAAATAAAAAATGAAAAGAGATAGCTCATGAAAAGACTAATCAAAATAAGCCTGGAGTGGTTATAGTAACTTAAGAAAAATAAACAGTAAAGGAGCCAGAGGCCATTTCATTATGATAAAGAGGTCAAATAATCTGAAGGCTGCAGAAAATCTTCCGTAGATATGGACCTAATAGGACCTTCCAAATGAGAAAAGCTGGTATTATGAGGAGAGATAAGCATCCACAGACACTCCCCAGAGAGAGTATGCAAGACCTGTTTATCAATAAATGAAAGAATAAATAGACCACAAGTGTAAGAATATGGAAGATTTGACCATCGATACTAATGAATTTAACCTAGTATCGACAGAGCTCTCTAAGAACTATGGAGTGAATGTTATTTCTCAAGAGAATCTTACAGACACCTCAATAAACTGCATTGTGGGGTATAAAACAAGATGAAGCAAGTTTTGAGGGATTCTAAACTATTAAAAATTGTGTCTCCATACCACAGAGGAATCACATTAGAAATCTATCATGCCAGGTATTCTGGGTAATCATGTATTTAATCACAATTAAATACTCAGAAGGTAAGAAACACACTCCTATGTAACTTATGTGTGAAAGAAAAGGGGGATGAAAGTGAAAATTGAAGTAATCTATAAAAATTTGTAGAATGCTGTTAATTGAGTGTTTAGATAAAATTTTATTGCACTGTGTTATAGAACAAGTTTTAGGTTGGGAGGTGGCTCAGTAGGTAAAAGTGCTGCCCTAAATTTGGATCCCTAGAGCTCATGTAAAAGCCAACTGACTTCTATCCATCTGCATGCCCTCACATGCAAAATACACATGCACATACACACACACACACACACACACACACACACACACATCTCTATCAACACACACATACACACAGATACATTTTTTAAAGTTTCATACTAATAGCTTCAGCTTCTTTTTTAAAGAAAGCAATGGTAAAGGAGAAATTAAACTCAAAGTCAGTAATAAATATAATGGGTATCTGAAAAGAAATTAATGGAACAGAAAACATTAATAAAAAGTGAGCAGAAACCGAGAGCTGGAAAAAAGAAAATGAGGCAATCTTCAGTTCAGTGTGTCTTTTGAGCATGGGTGAAGAATTTGTAAAGAAAACACTATCAAATCAAATCCAACAACTGAATTTCAGGTGAAGACCCCAAGATTTTAGCCAAGTTATTATATCTTCTGTGATTGGCTCTGGAGGCCTCAGATTTGATCTGTGAAAAAGCAGGGAGGGATGAAAAGGCTAAGGGCAAATGAGGGTCAGAACCCCAGGGAGATGGAAGGCATTCATGAGTGGTCTTGTTTTACCTGTGGTGCCAGGTGAGGAGAATAAAGCAACTCTCCTTGAACTTGGAGCTGTGGAGCCTTTGACCAAACTGCTTACCCACGAAGACAAAATAGTAAGAAGAAACGCTACAATGATCTTTGGCATCTTGGCTTCCAACAGTGAGTAGCAATGTTTTGAAATGAACACATTCTCCTTCTTTCAAAGTTAACTTTTTTTTTTTTTTTTCCGAGACAGGGTTTCTCTGTGTAGCTTTGGAGCCTATCCTGGCACTCACTCTGGAGACCAGGCTGGCCTGGAACTCACAGAGATCCACCTGCCTTTGCCTCCCGAGTGCTGGGATTAAAGGTGTGAGACACCTCTGTTAAGGAATTCGTCTAAATCTTATTTAAGCCAACTTTAACATCAGCAAAAGAAGGCAGTGTAATGTAACAAATGGTTGTACTGTTTGCTTACCTTGTGTGTATCTGCTTGTGAGTACAGATACCTGTAGCGGCCAGAAGAGGGCATTGGATCTCCTGGAGCTGGAATTGCAGGTGGTTATGTGGGTGCTGGAAACCAAACTCAGGTTCTCTGGAAGAACAGCAAGAACTCTTGAGCACTGAACCATTTATCCAGCCCAGATTTGCTATTTTAATAGATTTTTAACAGATGTGGAGATAAGTATAAAATCACTTCAAAGTTAGTAATGATGTTCTAGTCTAACAGGTTAGGGAAAAAATTATCCCTTAAAATGATTTCACCACCCCCCATGCCAGTTAGTCCAGTGCAATTTGCCTGCACACATGTCAGTTACGCTTCATATAAATTTCCTAGTATATGAAGCCCACAGTAGGTTTTCATAAAGTGACTTTCTAAAATTGCTAACAATTGCTTGTATAAAAATTTAGTTGTATATGCTGAATTCAAATTGTGTAAGTTGAATACTCTTGAATCATATTATGATTTGATTCAAATATTCTCATTTACTTAGAAGTGTGGCATTATAGTATTAGCTAAAACATGATCTTCCAGTTTTAGAACAGCAGTTTGACAGAGTCATACCAACAACAGTAGTCTCTACTTGTGTGCAGGATGTATTTGTCCAGGCATACGTCACTTCTCTGTGTTTTAGAGTAGTTTATAAGTCACAAATTTTGTAACGTACAAAAGTTTCAAAAAGTATTTTGAGCCAACATCTTTGTAACTACAAAAATATTCAATGATACTCTTAACAGAGAATTAATTCAACCATGAAACAAGGGTAGACAGAAATAGACTTAAGTCTCTAGTTACAGTATATGGCTAAGCATCATTTTATCCCTTGCCATGCCCTCCACAGGGTACATCATGGATTCTTCCCTTTCTGTCCCCAAATGGCAGTTTTTCTAGACAACATGTGATATACACAGATATTTACATCTTCAATGATTTTTCCTGTTTGTTTTTGTTCTTAATTTCTATCATTTCTCTTACATGTTCATTCATTCATCTATTATCTAATATAGAAAGTATTTGTTTCTTGAGAAACTCTCCAAATTGTTGGTGAAAATTCTCAGTTCAGGATATATATAAATTGTATTTTATGAATATCTTGAGGATTTTGTGACCCTAAATTACAAAGAATTAGGGGATGGGGTGATGTCTCAACAGTAAAGAGTGCATACTGCTCTTGCAGAGGACCAGAGTTTGGTTCCCAGCACCCATACTAGGTGGTTCATAACTGCCTATGACTTCATATAAAGGGGGAATCCATGGCCTCTGGCATCCTCTTGCATCTGCACACACACACACACACACACACACACACACACACACACAATTAATTTTTTAAAGAAATATGTAGTTGTCCCGCCCCACGTGATGGCAACCTAGGGCAAGATATCCAGGGAGGGGAATGGGGACAAGAGATGCTGAGAGAATGACTAAAAGTCAGGATTCTGATCAAGTAGCAAATTTAATTTTTTCCAGGCTAGCTTATATAGTCAGTAGAGTGGGGTAAAGGGGAGGGAGAGAAGAGGCCAAGAGCCAGGTGTTAGTTTAAGCAGGATGTCAGAAAATTATAGGAGGAGGATGTTGGCAGGGTAAAAAGTTCATGGGTGGTGGGGTGAAGGAAGGTTACCTAGGTAAGTTGTGGGGTATGGGAGGGTTGCCGAGGTAAGTGGGCCTGTGGTTGGAACAAAGGATTGATGTCTCGGTCATGTTGTTCCTTCTGGGTGCTCATGCTTCTAGAAGCCATTTATAATCAAAAGACAGTTCTATAACTGTGTGGCTTGCCAAGTTTGGCCTAAAGGTTCATGCCAAGGTGTATGGCTCCCAACAGAAATATTTCCACATTTGGGTGTTAACTAAGGGGTTCTCTGGGACCTCCCAGGGCCCAGACCCAACCCTATAAGTTTGTTTTGATCAGTACTAGGAGGGCACACCACATCTGTTCATCCAGTGGGGAGAGAACTGTTGCCCTCAGGGTCCCAATAAATACCTAGCTCTCTGGTCTGACTAAGTATGACAGCTTATGAACACATATCTGGTGCAATGAACAATTATGGTAATGAAAGGCTTTCTTCTGATCTCATGAATTAGATTTTTTAAAACCATTATATGACTTGATTGATTTTGTATTTGATGATGTGGCTAACCCATGGTAAACCAAGTTGCTTGGGAAGGTCTCCTTTTCTTGGAAGAATCAACATGTTCACAGCTATACGCATCTCCACTTGTCACACATGTCCTAGAAAACTTGGATAGAAGATGAGCAAGTAGCCATTGGAGCCTAAGAGAGTCATGCCTCCAGGCTAATCTGTAAATGAAGGCACCTCCACACGGCTCAGTGACGCATTGTTGGCATGTCTAATAACAACAACTATGATGGATGCTTCTTAGAAACATGTGCCTTCCTGTGGCTTTCATATTCCGTGAACAACTGTGTTCATGGCAGAGGATGCTGGTGCTGGATGCTGGTGCTGGATGCTGGTGCTGGAACTTCACATGAGAAACAGCTCTCCTTTCACAACCTCCTCCTCTACCTCCTTTTCTGTTTGTCCTCCTCCTTCCCTTCCTCTTCCTCCTCCTTCATTTCTGCTTACTCCTCCCCTCTCTCTTTCTTTTCCTCTCTCCATTTTCTTCCTCTTCTTCCTTCCCTTCCTCTTCCTCTTCCTCTTCCTCTTCCCTCTCTTCCTCTTCTGGAAGTCACTGAGCTATGTGTCTGTGCCAAGCTGGAATGATTTAAAAAGACATTGAAGTTACTTTACTGAATTTTTGTTTTTGTTTTTTTTTTTTTTTTTTTTTTTTTTGTCGAAACACAACTACCACTGTCTTCTGTCTCCTGCCAGTTTGTGTTTAATTCATCCAGAATCCAGAGCACACAACAGATGCAGTGACTACAGTCAGTCACAGATGCAGTGACTGTAGTCAGTCACAGATGCAGTGGTTGTAGTCAGCTATAGAGTCCACGAGAAACCCTGTGTCAGGCAACCTCAGAAACCAGCACTTTGGACCACACAAAGCCACTGGAGAAAGAAGGTGCTGTAAACTGGTGGAAGGTCGAGAATAAATTAGATGGCAAAACCAAGATATTGGGAAAGCAATCAAGCCTGATATAGTGGGGCCCACCTACAATGGGGGAGGCTGAAACAAGGGAATTGCAATGAGTTTGACCTGGCCACCATAATGAATTTTAGCCCTGTTGGAACTACATAGTGAGGCTCTGTCTAAAAGGTAAAATGCAATCAAAACAGATCTGATGAAGTTAGAGCAGGAATTAACTCACTAGCAGATCTGCCTTGACCGGGAGTCATAGGTGGCACCCTACTTAGCCCGACACTGTTCACCTGGGTTCAGGATGGGTCAGAATTTCCATCCAGTTGCCACAGTTGAGGAACTTCACTGTGGAAAAAGAAGGAACCAAGGCTAATATTGTGTTTACAGTGCTTGAAAGAGCAGCTTGCCTGGTATGCTTTTGCCGATTTAACATAAAAAAAAGGATTAGATTCTTTGAACAATCTAGTGTCAAAATCAGAATAGTAAGTCCATCAACTGGGTCACCAGTTCACAGAGCTGCAGTGAACTAGAACCATCCATCAAGCAGGGAGGAATGACTTGGCAGATGTATATTCTCCTGGAGTGGTTCTTGTGCATCTCTGGTCATTTGGTTTAAATTGCACGACATGAGACTCTCTGATGAAGACTTCTTGCATGTTTTGGCAAAACGGTGTGATGTCCACCCGAGACCAAAAGAAACATGCAGCTCTGGACTTTCCATGTGGTTGCCAATCACACAGAAAGAAAGCAATTGAGAGTGTACAGGCACCCTCATGGTCTGCATTAAGGTCACATCAAGAAGTTTTGAAGCGCCTGAGGATGACATACAAACATACTTACAAATATGCATACAATCTCTGTGAGTTCGAGGCCAGCCTGGTCTCCAGAGCGAGTGCCAGGATAGGCTCCAAAGCTACACAGAGAAACCCTGTCTCGTAAAAACAAAAACAAACAAACAAAAAAAAACAAATATACATACATACATACATACATACATACATACATACATACATACATACATACGGATCTAAAATTCCAGAAATAGTAGGCCTTTTTTCAAGCATTTAAGATAAGGAATTTTGGTACAGTTGCCAGAAAAATTGTTCTGAATCATGGACTGGCATCAGGACAAAACTTACTGAAAGCAGGTGTATGGAATTTGGTTACCAGTATCTTGCAAGGATCTAAGTATTATGCCAAGACTGTTACCTGTCAATCAGTGGAGAAAATGCTTTTTAAAACTCAGTATTGGATCATAAATACTACCCCCTGCTGTGTCCAGCACAGCTTGGGCTAGAAACCTGACTGAGTTGATATAGGAATGAAGAAATGACAGACATGCATGCAGAAAGTCTGGGATCAGGTGGGCTGCACTCACTATGACGGAGGGCAGCAACTATTACCCAAGGAACCCAGAACCTCAGTGAGTTTATTATGTACAGACAGAGAGAAGGGCTTATCTGGTTTCAGAAGGAGGCCTTTGCAGGGAAGCAGGCTTTAGGAAACTGTAGCCAAAGCTTTCTGTAAACTCTGTCATCATTCACACCTGGGCTAGAGAAAGGCTCTGTCAATACCCTGAGCCTGACCCAGGAGAGGCTTTGTCAGTTCTTATGGGTCTGAGGCATTGGGGTCCTTCTCAATAACACGTATATTTTCAAGACAGCCTTTGTTTCCCACAACATGGCACCTTGGGACATGGCATGTCCTGGAACCTACAAAAGCTACTGCCTAATTGCTCCACCTTTGCCACCAGAAGTTTTGATACATTGAAGAAAAGCCACAGCTCTGAATTCCTCAGGGAAGGGTGTTCAATGAATGCCAACCCTATTCAACAATGAATAAGGACAGATTCATCCTAGACAGTTGGCTTCAGTGACCTTTCCTCCAATTCTAGTGGGGTTAATCTTTTCTTACTGATAAAGGAAATGGACCAGAAGTTTGAAAACTAAAGGAAAAGAGGTGTCTTTTTTTCTTCAAAAAACTGGAGTTAAGTCAACAAGATGTAGAGGCATACCTGGCTAGCCTCAGCCTAACAGAAAACACAGACAAGTAAACTTCAAAGGCCAATGCATTTCTCTCTCTCTCTCTCTCTCTCTCTCTCTCTCTCTCTCTAGCACTTTTGTCATCTCCAATAATCAAATTGAGTGTAAGCAATAAGGATGTATCAGTCAAAATATGTTAATTGTTTGTATTATACACAAGTTTATGAAAATCTAACTTAAAAATAATCTCAAAATGGAGAGAATAAGTGACCATAGATGCCCAACTCTATCCGATGCACCTGCAATGTTAGCAAAGGCTCTGGGGAAACTGAGGAAGAGGGGTCAGAAATATTGTATGAGCCAGAAGATGAGGACACCTTCTACAAAATGGAGTCTTCTAGACATGACAGGGAAGTGGTACCTTTGAAATCTCAACAATATGGTTTCCTAAACAAGACCTTGTGTAATAGTAATGAGAGTCAACATGACAGCGTGGATGGGAGGAATGTCACAAAACTTTACCCCTAGATGAGGAGCCACTGAGAAGGCATGAATCTGTTTTCTCACAGACAAGCTTGACAACGTATACTGTCATATGTACATGTGAGTATACATATACACCACACACACACACACACACACACACACACACAGAGAGAGAGAGAGAGAGAGAGAGAGAGAGAGAGAGAGAGAATAATAATAATAGAAAGTGCCAGCACAAGACACCCCAAGACCAAGTTCTCAGCACAAGGAGGTTTATTTACCCCAGAAGGAAAAAGGGCAGGGAATAAGAGACAAAGAGAGGAGATAGAGGCTGAGGGAGAAGGGGAAAGGATCAAGGGAGAGGGAGAAGTGACATTTGGTTGGGCATGTTAATTAGGGTAGCCAAAAGGGGGCTTTTGGTTGCTGGACTTCAATTATTTGATAGCTGGGTGTTGGCAATAGGCCTCAGGAGAAGGAAGTGGCCAAATAAGGGAATAAGCTTTCATGACTAGCTTTAGGAATGAAATCTAATGATTTTTAGCAAGGAAGAGGGAATGGGGAAAGGGCAAGGCCTGCCAGAGTCATGTTTGCCATGCTCAGGCCTGCTAGAGCATGAAACAATGATTAAAGAAGAAAAGATCATGAATTTGAGAAGGAGTGGGGATATGAGAGAGGTTGAGTGTGAAGGAAAGGTGGAAATGATGTATTAGAACACATGTATCAAAATTTTAAAACGAAAATTAATACATTAAATACAGGACAGTGTGAGTTAGCTTTTCTGATATGTTCTAGGTGTGTCTAGCATGGCTGCTGTCATCCTTTTCAGTGTTGATCAAAAGGCAGATGCTAGATGGTGTCCAAGTGGAGTCATCTGACCTGGGCATGCAACCTTCCTCTTTCTTGTTGCTGCTTAGATCTCGGTATCAATATCCTTAGCCATGAAATCAGATAGAAGCACTTATCTCCACAGCAAATGCTTAGCTAAATTCGACACTATTATTTTAACAAACATCCATATTTTGTCTCTTCCTTTGTAGGTGATGTTAAAAAGTTATTGAGGGAGTTAGAGGTCATGAATTCTGTTATTGCTCAGCTTGCTCCAGAAGGTAACTTTGTGTCCTACATTTATTTCCAAAATGGAACTGATTTCTTTTTACATTTTATTAAACTACACAATGCAAAGAGCTTATAAACCATCCACTGTGAATTGTCATTACGATCTTTCAAGCCACGACTCAATTTGAACTTTTCAGGAAGTGTGATATGAGCAAGATTTATGGAGCTTTGGATTCTAAAGCCTCTGTGTGGTTGTATGGTGTGTGTGTGTGTGTGTGTGTGTGTGTGTGTGTGTGTGTGTGTGTGTGTGTGTAGTCCAGGGCTTTGCATAGGTACTCCACCACTGTAATATATCCCAAAACGCTGACACCCCAGCACTTCCTGTCCCAGCCTACGAGGCAGCTAGGATCACAAGTCTGTGAGATCATTACACCCCTCCTCAAAGCCTATTGTAAAGTAGAGCTTCTGTAAATAGCTAACTCTTTGTCTTGCTTCTTTATGATATATAGAAGAAGTGGTAATCCATGAATTTGCAAGTCTTTGTCTCGCAAACTTGTCGGTAGAGTACACAGGGAAAGTACAGATATATGAGCACGGTGGACTGGAGCCACTCATCAGACTGCTGAGTAGCCCAGACCCGGATGTGAAGAAGAATTCTATTGAATGCATCTACAACTTGGTACAGGTAAGGTTAGTTTGTAAACAGTGTTTTGGTGGCAGGGGATACAACTTAGAGCTAAAGTTGCCTAACATGAAGGAGGCTCTGAGTTTTAGTCTCAACACCATTAAAAAAGACTCTTTGAGCAAAAGCCCATTGTAGGGGTGGGGCTGGAGAGATGGCTCAGAGGTTAAGAGCACTTGCTGCCCTTCCAGTGGACCCAGGATCAGCTCCTAGCAGCCACATGGTGGCTCTGGTACAGGGGGATCTGATGCCCTCTTTTGGTCTCTGTGGGCATTGTGTGCTCATGATACACAGGCATGTAGGCAAAACAACCATATACATAAAATACTTTTTGAAGCCCATTATGGAATTTATCTTTCTATTTAAAAAGAATTTTAAAACTCACTAGTTTTGCATAGCTGCTCTCAGCACATTTAGCACTTATCACTCAGAAAAAGATAATGGAAATCCCATATAGATGCCCTTCAATTTTCCCGTTTTATAAGTAAGTGTCTACCACATGGAAAGAAATATATTTTTGTTTTAAAAGAGGACAATTGCATACAAATGAAGGTGGGATTCATATGAATCCACTGTGTTTCTTTTAAAAATGGGAAATGTACAACTCCTGTCAAATCTGGGAAGTGTAAACACAAAAGCACAGCTCTCATCTAAAAGGAAATACAGCTCATTCTAAATGCAAACTTGAGTGACCTTGGCCTGCAGAACAGAGTTATGTCACCCCAGGTCCCATGTTTCCACGTGGAAGCAGGTGCATGAGATTTTATAGTAAGCAGAATAAAGAAAGTCACAAACAAAGGCAAGTTTCAAACACATTGGTGGGCACATCAGAGATGCAGTTACAGCAAGAAAGGGGCATCCTGTAGGTCTCACATGGTATCTGGTGACATTGTAGCTTTGGGTTGGTAGAAGCTTGTAAAGTAATAGAATCAATGGGCTTTCCCTCACCATTTCAGCTTACTTTGCTGTTGTTGTGATAAAACATCCTCACAAAAAGCAGGTTAAAGGAGAAAGAGTTGATTCTGGGTCATAATTCAAGAGTGTGTAGTTCACCCTGGCAGGGAAGTCAAGATGGTGGTAGCATGCAGCAGCAGGTCATGTGACATCACAGTCTGGAAGCAGAGAGCAATGGATTCCCATGCTTCGCTAACATCCTCCATTTCATAGAGTCCAGGATCTGCTGCCCAGGGAATGGTCCCACACACAAGATGGGTCTTCCCACATCAGCGAATGGAATTAAGATAATCCCAAAAGCCTCTCACAGGTGTGCTCACAGGCTTGTCTGGGGGGGGGTGGATTTTGTATTTTTTGTAGTTGTCAGTTAACACTGTCTGTCCAACTCACTCAGCAACTTAAAACTTCCCATCCATGGATCTGGAGTTTTAATCTCAGGACTCCTCCTGGGTGCATTTTTCTCCTTGTTCTTTCAAGTGAAAACAAGAAGCATTACCTTCACAGTTCTTATAACAGAAGAAGCACTGGGGACTAAAAAGGTATTTGGGCTGCTGTAGCTAAATACCACAAGCTGGGTGGCTCAAACAACAGAAAGCCAGTTCTGAGGCTAAAGGTTCAAAGTTGCAGTGTTAATATGACTTATGCTTCAGAGACTGGGCAGAACCATTCCTTGATTGCCCAGCTTTTGCTAGCAGCCAGCACACCAGTCTCTGCCTTTGTCATCTCCATTCTCATGAGGACATCAATTTTACCTTATAAGGACACCATTAAGGACCATACTCCAGGGTGACTCTGTCTTGTTTAATTACATCAGCACTGCAGTGGGACACAATTTTAAAGGTCACCTATAACTTTTATGCTCAAAGGAAGTTGAATATTCATGGTTAGGTGAAAGAGAAGGAAGGAAAGAAGAAAGGAAGGAAGGAAGGAAGGAAGGAAGGAAGGAAGGAAGGCTAAGCTGAATATGGGGGCATTGTGTGTGTGTGTGTGTGTGTGTGTGTGTGTGTGTGTGTGTTGTACATACATGTTTATTCAAGAGTATGCACATTTGTGAGTGTGGAGGCCAGAGATCATCATCTGGTTTTCTTCAAATACTCTCTACCTTAGTTCTTTGAGGCAGGGTTTCTCACTAACTGGAACTCAATGATTAAAGTAGGCTGGCTAGCCAATGAGTTCGAGAAGCTAGATAGAATACAAGCACACTGCCACTCTGGTTTCTTTACATTGGTTCTGGCTGCCCAGACTCATCTCCCCAGGCTAAATGGCAATACTCAGTTGATTGAGCTACTTCCCCCCTTCCTACCTTCAATGCTATTTAATCATATCTGAGGGTTTTTTTTTTTAAATGAGATCTTAAGTGTCTAAATTAAATGGCATGTATTTGAAAAAAAAAAAAAAACAGAAAACAAAAAATACCTGCTATAAATTTGCACACAGAGGGTTATCTACAGCACCAAACACATGAAGCTATTTCACAAACAACCCCTCAAAGATAAGAATCTATACTGTTATTTAATCAAACACTATTTGAAACAGCATATCTGTGTAAAAAGAATTGTTTATAGAAGTTTGCAGTGACATAAATCCTGCAAGTGATAGGTAACATTGGCTTCCTGTTCACTCTGTCTGCATTGATAACTTTTTTTTTTTTGCTGTCAGTTAAGAGGTTTTTTTTTTTTTTTTTTTTGTCTATGAGTTATTTTGGAATCTGGAGTCAAAGATGGAGAAATTATAACATAATAATGTTCTCTGCCAGAACAGAGACACTCTTCATCCTTGAGAGCATTTGTTGCAGAAATTATTAATGTGCTCATTTGCATTTCATGGCAGGATTTTCAGTGTCGGACTACACTCCATGAACTAAACCCAATCCCTCCGATATTAGAGCTCCTGAAGTCCGAGTATCCCATTATCCAGCTGCTGGCTCTCAAAACCCTAGGTGTTATTACGTGTGATAAGGAGTCTCGGGCGATGCTGAAAGAGAATCAAGGGCTGGACCAACTCTCCAAGATCCTGGAGACCAAGGTATTTGCAGTATTGCCTTTCACGAGGCTTTCTGAAATGTTGTCCTAAAGTCTGGGTGTTTTTAATTTTATTAAGCCAAGTTTCAGGCATAATTAATTAATGGTTGTGTAAACTTTATTAAGCTGCTTAAAGCAGGCTAGTTGTAGAGGCCATTGAGAACTAATAGAAAGTAAGCCTTCTGGCTTTGAAGGTTTAAGATTTTTCTGAAACACCTAGAATTAACCTTTTAATCTCACTATCCATCATGATTGTGGGATGAGGCAAGAAGAGCAATTTACCTTCTAAATACAATGAGAAACATCGGAGCTGAAGTTGCACACAGATCCCAAGGAATACATGGCCCACTTTAAGAGTGTGTGTGTCTCACATCTGCCAGTTACAAAAGCCAATCTAGAAGTTTGCTGCAGGCCATTTAGCTGTATACTCATGGCTCAAATCCATGCTGAAAGACTCCACAGGCTTAATTCCAGAGCCAAGTGCCTATATGTAAATTTCAGATCCACCCTCTCTGCTTCAAAGTATTATGTCATAAAAACTCTATTTAGTATCTTTTAGAAAATAAGGAGAGAGGCACAATTTAGTAAGCCAAAGGCTCCTTGAGTAATAATTTATTAAGTTTAAAACTAACCAACTGGGGGCTGGAGAGATGGCTCGGAGGTTAAGAGCACTGACCACTGCTCTTCCAAAGGTCCTGAGTTCAATTCCCAGCAACCACATGGTGGCTCACAACCATCCATTATGAGATCTGGTGCTCTCTTCTGGTGTGCAGATATACATGGAAGCAGAATGTTGTATACATAATAAATAAATAAAATCTTTTTAAAAATAAAACTAATTAATTATTAGATCTTTCTCCAAAACAACAACAACAGCAAAAAACTACAGACCTCAGTGTTTGTTACAGAATGGAGGAAATGAAGTACAGTGTCAAAAGCTGTTCTGGTACAATTCTGTTCCCCCACCGCGTCCATGTACCTCTGATTCCATCTAATACAAAGCAACCATCCTGTGCCCATCAGAATGAGTGCAAAGTCCATGTGTGACATTTATTCTTCTTAACATTCAGGAACTTACATCCTATGATGTAAAGGTAATAAAAACCAAATCCTAAATTGTATGATAAGAAGACAAGAGAGTGAAAACAAAGTCATATATTTAGAACACACAAATACAAGCATACACGGACAAGTAACCCTACCAAAATGAAGAAGAAACACTCGGGCAATTGCAGCTTTCATAGTCGTAACATAGTCATAACATGGTCATGACTGACAGCTATCACTACTACTTTCATTAGTCTAGGTTTCTTTTGCCCTCAGCAAAAGCTTCAATGGATCAGAGCTCTTAACTTGCAAGATGACTCATCTTAATTACTAAACACTAGAATGGATTGAGTAGGTTTATTTGCCTGTTTGGTTTTGGTGTGTGTGTGTGTGTGTGTGTGTGTGTGTGTGTGTGTGAGTGTAGACAGCATCTCACTGTGTATCCCAGCTGACCTGGAATTTGCATCCATCATCTTGCCTCTGCCTTCTAATTGTTGTGACTATAGCATGCACCACCATATCTACTTGTTCGTTGTAAGTTTTCAACAGACTATGACATTGTTTTTTCCACTGGCTTTAATTACAGTGTGGTAATACCAAGAGACACACTAATAGATCTCATATTTTCTAGGCTACCTTTCCTTTGATTGGCAACCTAATTTCCCCTTGCATAGAAACTCTTCTTTGCCTATTGATTTGGAGGTTACAGCTCAGTGGTAGAGAGTGTGCCTAGCATGGACAAAGCTGGTTCTATACCTAATACTGCCAAAAAAAAATCTCTACTTTTTTTCCCCTGGAGATTTTAGATTTGTATTTGGTGGAAGATAATAGGAACAATTTCAGTTCACTGTAATTACTGAATGTTTCCTTCATTATTTTATCCATAAAACATCTTCAAGTAAGAGAAATGAGAAAAGGTGAGGCAAGTGGTGGTGGGAGATGAGTTACTAAGAATTTCTGCTTCCCTGGGCTTCTATCAACACAGAATTGATCACACAATGTTCTGATGAGTCCCACTCTCCTTGTAATAGTAAAATCTGAAGAGTAATTTTCTTTAACACAACATGGTAGTTGGAATGCGAAATGTCCACCATAGGCGCATGTGTTTAAACACTTGGTCCCCAGACAGTCATGCTGTTTGGGAAGGTCATAGAACCTTTAGGGGTAGAACCTTGCAAGAGGAAGTACATCACTGCGGGCAGGCTTTGAGGGCTTGCAGCCTTGTTCTCACTTCCTGTTCTCACTATGATTCCTGACTGCCCAGGCAATGTGAGTGGCCAGCCTTATCTTTGTGGCAGTGATGAACTGTTTCCCCTTGGAACTGTATGCTGGAATAAAGCATTTCTCCTTCTGAGTTGCCTTGGTCAAGTATTTTGTTGTAGCAACTTGTGACACAATCAAGAAGACAACTTGCAAGTTGTGTTTGTTTTTACTGTTAGGAATGGAATGATCTTCATGTTGAAGCACTTGCAGTGATAGCCAATTGTCTGGAGGATATGGACACAGTGGTGCTGATGCAGCAGACAGGGATCCTCAGAAAACTACTTTCATTCGCAGAGAACTCGACAGTTCCTGACATCCAGAAGAATTCAGCCAAGGCCATTACTAAAGCGGCTTATGATGGTATGTGTCTTCTTAACATAATCTCAACACACATTTTACTCTTGCATTCTTAATTTTGATGAATACTTATATACACTAGAGCATCAGCCTGCTTTAAATACCCCCTCTGAGAAGAGCAGGATATGTAATAGTTAGAACTCAAACATCTCTCAGCCAACAAGGTAAAGTGCAGATTGCTTTGTCAGAGGGTTTACAAACTTAATACCACTTAATTACCATCTCATTTCTAAAAAGGAGTTTATTACGAGTTTATTTAAGCTTGAAGCCTTTATTTCTCCTGAAATTGAAATGATAGAGGACACACAGGGTGTTTGTGATTTGAAAACATTGTTTTGCAAGATCCACACTCGGAATGGCATCAAAGGACTGTCAAGTTTCAGCTGGAAGCTAGTCGTGCCATGTCATACAGCCACAGAAAACAATATGCTTGTGCAATGTACATAATACAGTTTTCATTTCTTCGACAAGATGTGTTGTCATAAGCCTGTATAATAGAAGTGATGAATTACATCCCAAGCACTGAAGATGCAATGATAGCTCTAATTTATGAATATATAGGGGATTTTGTAAATAAAAGATGGGAACTTATTTTACCCCTTCTGCATCACTACTCTTAGAAATGATGGCAGCTTTGACTGTTTCTATGATTTACATTCTAAAATACATACTCACATCTGTATATATGTCTCTGTATACATCATGGAGAACATTTTTTTAGCCCATACTAGATTTCCTAAAGGCTTTTTTAATGCAGCACATACAAGCTCACTGTGAAGTATAATCAGCATACTAGGGCTTCATGGGTTACCCTGTCACCACCAAATCTACATGCAGGCTGTAAAATTAAGATTTTTTAAAAAATATTGGAAATGTATATGAGGGGGTGCAGTAAAGAAACTCCTGAAATGACCTCTCCATTATTGGGAAGGTTTTTTATTGTGAGTCGGAACATTCAGAGGGATCTGGAAAAGCCCAGGGCAGAGGGAAAAGAAAGCATACTGGACATGGCCAGGGCTGTCTGCAAGAGACACAACAAGAAAGAATACTAAGAATAGTGAGCTTAGCTGGGGGTGGGCTGGGGATAAATGAGAAGAGTAAGGATGCGATCGTGGAGGCTTTGAAATGTATAACATGTATTTGCGAGTAGGGACTGTAGGAGCCTGGAGATCAGCATGGCTTTGATTTGCAACAACAGGTCCGTATTAGTGGAGCCATCTGTCCCTTCTGCCAGAGGTAGGGGAAATGGCTCTTTTGGGGGAAGAAAAACCTGTTTCACAAGTTCCTGAAGGATGCTGGCTTTTATCTAACTGCCAAGAATCCTGTATAGTCTAGATACACGGACTGCCTGAGACCTAACAGGCAAATGTTGGCTTCCCCCAGGTCTACCCAAAGGAACTTAAATGTTGTCACACTGGGCCAGTTTTGTTTTCATTCTATTCCAGGATTCTTGATGAAGTGAGGCCCAAAGAGTGCTGTAATGATAACCAAACAGTGTCACACCCAACGTGCTTTGCCCATCTTCTCTGAGAACTGGTGTGGCTGAATCTTTCTAGATTTGTTGCAAGGTAGTTTCATGGTGGTTGTATAAAGTGAGGACATGACTGCTTGGAGGTATGGTTGAAGGAACGTTTTTTTTATTATAGATATGAGGAAGTGTGTAGTCAGAGGCATCTGGAAGCAGGGAAAGAAAGCAGTGTACTGAACATAACCAGCAGAGTGGACTTGGCCATAAGAGGATAGTGAGATGGGGAAAGCAAGAGGGGAAGGCAAAAGAGAGAGAGAGTGAGTGCATGGCCAAAATAGCAGGGGAATGAGAAGCTGCAGGAAGTGAAGCCCATGTGTTGAAGATTAGACTAGGGGGCAGGGTGAGAAGAGCTGAGAAGAACCAGGATGTCAGCATGGACTCAGTGACAAGTAACTGTGATGGTGAGAGAGCCTGTTAGGCCAGCATGTGATTTGGTATATTCACAGGCACCAGGGGTAGCTGGTTTGTCTTGAGTTTCTTTTGGACCTGACAATCGTGTGACAAAGCATGGGTGGGGCAACAGGCAGTATTCCTGGAGTACCAGGCTCAGTACTAGACCAGATACTACTACTGCACTGACCTGCTTGCCTGGCCGTGAGGGAAGAGCAGCACCTACAAACCTGTCCTTTCATCTATCCATTCATGATTTTGTTTACACAAACTGAGACAGGCAAACAAGCAAGCACTCACAAAGTTGTGCCAACCATGTATGACAACTCAGGGAAGAGAAGTCTTAGGTTTCAAGCAGAGCTTACAAGTCCAGACGTGGAATCAATAGTGGAAATTTCCTGGGCAAAGAAGAACTGGGTGGGGTGTTCCCTGAAAGGAAAGGTTCCAGATCTGAAGATTTGCAGGATGCCTAGTGAATGGAATGCAGCAGAGCACTGAGAATGTTGGTTGAGGCTAGGGAAGCAATGAGGAATAGTTGTAACCCAAGATATTTAACATCGAGGAAAAACCACTGAAGAGACAGAGTGAGGAGACAACATTGCACTCTTCAGACTGTAAAGATGAGCACTCTTAGCCGGGCGTTGGTGGCGCACGCCTTTAATCCCAACACTCGGGAGGCAGAGGCAGGCAGATCTCTGTGAGTTCGAGACCAGCCTAGTCTCCAGAGCAAGTGCCAGGATAGGCTCCAAGCTACACAGAGAAACCCTGTCTTGCAAAACCAAAAAAAAAAAAAAAAAAAGATGAGCACTCTTGCTATAACATTAATAAGAGATTGGAAACATGTAACTCAACTCAGAGAACCAGGAGGAGGTTGCTATGGTGATCTAGGTGAGGTAAGATGATTACCTGGGAGGATTTGGAGGTGTAGCTGAGAGGTAAAATACTGTCTTAGCATGCACGAGAGCCAGCAACACACACACACACACACACACACACACACACGTACACACATCCGGAAAGTATCCTGACAGAAATACAAATTGCATGCTTTCTCACATGTAGAAGCTGCAGGATTGATCTCACAGGAATAGAAACTGGAACAGTGTTACAAGAGTCTGCATTAAGTCTGGGAGAGGGGTGTGGAGAGGGGAAAGTTAATGGAGACAGCCCTTCTGATGTCCTACAGCACAGCAGGATAAAATGCTAGACAATGATCATTTCAAAACAGTCAATAGAGAACATTTTTAGTGTTCCTAACTAAAAAAAAATGATGGTATCTGAGATGGTGGATTCCAGTTACCCTGACTAATTTATTACACATTGTATACATGTATGGAACACCACATGGGATGGTGTATAATTACTATATAATTACTGTACACCAATTAAAAATAAAATATACATTAAAAAGTATATACCATTCTTTGACTTTGACAAATGTGTGTGCATAACATAAAATCATCAAAAGTCTTAGGGCTTGGGAAGGATCAGTGAATTAACAAGGTTGTTATACATGTTTGAGGACCAGACTTTGGTCCTCAACACCCACATATATATTACACCTGCAATCCCAACACCGGAAGGCAGAGACAGTAGAATCCTGGAACTTGCTAGCCAGCCAGTGTAGCCAAATTGTTGAACTCCAGGTTCAGTGGAGAACAATAGAGGAAGATATCCACTCTTGACCTCTGGTTTCTATACATATAGGTATAGGCATGTACATTCCCTGTACATGCACACACATTCATATACCACAAGTGCACACTCACACAAGTCTTGGTATGATTTTTAACATGATTTGAAGTTGGTTATAGAGAAGGTAGACAGACAGACAGACATACAGAGGAATATAATACAAATATATATACACACTGGTGCCATGACACAAATGTGGTAAGCCCAGACAGACTCAAGGCACTGTGTGAATAGAGCCACCAGCCCTGTTCTTGGCCCACAGAGAGGCTCTGTAAGCATTTATAGAATGGTTACATGGGCTGAAGTAGGCAAGAAGTGAGACCTAGGATGAGACCGGTTATCTGACTTGGGCAACTAAGAACAATATAATGCAACTCCTGAAATGGGAACACAAAAGAAGTGCAAGTTTGAAGAAAAGGAAACTAGTGCCTTCTTTAATATTCTGATGTAATACTAGTAGCATAAAACTCACCTCCATACCCACTGTTATGTGCATAGTTCAGTGGCATTAATTGCATTCCACTTCCAGGGCCCCTTCCCATATGCAGAGCATCACCCAGAGTGTCTCAGATGGTAACTCTGCTTGCTCTCTCTGCCAGCTATCCTGCTCTGTCCCTACACATCTAGCTGCTGTAGTCACTTCGTGTTCTTAGGATCATACAGAATTTGTCCCTTTGTGGTTGTATGGCACTTAGCATGCTGTCCTCAAAATACCCATCCATATCATAGCATTATCAAGATTTCCTTGTTTTTAAGGCTGAATAATACGTCTTTGTTTATGCCACATTTTGATTTCCCATTCATCCACTGATGGACAGTTGGGTTGCTTTTTCCCTTTTGGCTATTGTGAATGCAGCTGTTATGAACGTGGGTAAACAAATACTTCTTTGACTCTGCTTTCCCTTCTTGTGGTATGTACCAGGAAGGCTTGCTAACTCACATGCTAATTCTATTTTTTAATCCTTTGAGGAACTTCCACATTTTCTTTAACAGCTGCACTGTTTTTTGTTTTGTTTTATTTTGTTTTGTTTTTTTTTTCCATTCCCAGGGACAATGCCCAGGGTTCAATTTCTCCACCTGCTGGCCAAAACTCATTACTTTGTTTTTTGATAGTAACTGTCCTACTAGGTACACAATGACATCTTGTCATTGTTTTTATTAATACTTCCCTAATAATTAGAAATGTTAACTAACTTCTTCATCCTCTTATTAATCCACATTTATAATTTTCAGAGAAATATCTTAGTTGCTTATGTGCGTACATGGAGGCCAGGGAGCAATCTTGGGTGTTCCCTCAGGCACTGTCCACCTTTTGTTGTTCTTTTTGCAAGGCAAGATCTCTCACTGGTCAGAACCTACCAAGGAACCTAGGTTGACTGACTAGTCTGCT